CTAAGTTGATCACGGTCAGGCGCCATGTCAACGTTGTACTTGTATTGTTTGATGAATGCTTCTCCCAAATCATTAAAAGTATGGATATTAGTTCTATCCAAACTCATATACCACTTCAACGCAACACTAGTCAAACTATCCTGAAAAAAGTGAATCAGCAGACGCTGATCATCAGTATGGGTAGACATTCTCCTCACGTACATCACCATATGAGCACGAGGGCAAGTGTTTCCCTTATACTTCTCAAACTCCGGGACCTTAAACTTAGTAGGTATCTTAACATTTGGGACCGAGCATAGCTCATTCACATTATGCCCAAATAGCTCTTTCCCCCTGAGGGCCTTCATCTCTCTCTGCATATTGTCAAACTTCTCTTGAAAATCATCCATTCTGTCATAAAGACCTAAGTCTTCACTTGGTGGAGGGAAAGGACGACACACATCATCATTAACAAACGAAACCATATTCACCGAAGGAGGCACAACAGGAACAACATGCACCACAAGAGGTGTTGGAGTAACAATAGTCTGAACCACTGGAGTATCTTGAGGACCAAGATTGAAACCTTCAGGCGCAAAATTATCTGGCATTCCCCATGGATAACCTTGAGGCATGTGATTCTAAACAACGGCCGAAGTAGCAGATACAGGAATAGTCGGAGCTTCAGTAGTTGCCCTTGTTGGTTGAGGTTGAACACTCAGTGGCTGATTCTGAGCAGCCACCAGAGTTCCATCAGAGCAGTCAGATTGGCCATGCCGGCCTTCAAAGCAGAAACTTCTTCGCGCAGCTCGCGATTCTCTTGTTATAAGTTGTCCATCTTCTTTTTAAAATTAGCCCGAGTGTTGTAGTGATGAGTCAGCTTGCTGAACGAAGTAAAGAAGCTTGGTAAGACACCTGGATATGCATAAAAATGCAAGAAATATGTGCAATATGATGCATGATATGCAATGCACATGATTATTTTTACTTCATTATTTAATATTTCAAAGGATTTAAAGTTTATAGACATATTGCAAACATCAAAGTAATAAATTTTTTTGAAATACTGAAAAATATTATTATAACAATTCTAAAATGGATTACAAGTTTCAATGATCTCAAGTACAATATGAAAATACAATCTAAAATCCTAAGAAAAAGAACTGATGGAGATCAGTCTATACGCTGGCGCTTCCCCATGAGCCTGGCAATCTGAGCCTTCAACCTCCGGTTTTCTTCTGCATGTCTGATGGCAATCTCTTTCCAATCATCTGAATTAGGAAATAAGTGATCAGCACCTGATTGAGGCTTAGGAGAAAATAAATCCCCTTGCCTCTCCATAGACTCTACCGCCCGACTCTCAAGGATCTCAATCAAGTCGTCTTTCTCCTTCAAGTCTGCTTTATAGGAACTCTCTAATGTTTTGAACTTGTTCTTCCAAGCATCCTTTTCATGTTGCATCCTAACCAAAGCAAGTTGCAGCTCTTCTAGATCATCTAATAAGGGAGGAGTGGTCTTCACAAACAGATCAGACATAGGTGTCTCCAGGACCATTGTCGAGAGAAAACCTTCCTTCATCTTCAGCTTCATGAGAGGAATAATGGACCCATACTTCTTTCGAAAGTCTGGAGAACACCCGATCTCGGGAATTAGACTGATCAACTCATCTATCTTGGGATCCTTGAAACTGTATTTTCCGGTATCTCTCTTTCCAGAATCCATGGTTAGAAAGTACCTGAGATATTCACAAATAGTCAACCTTTAAATCCCTTGAAATATGGTTTCTTCAAAAGATGCTTATGAGTGCATGGATGCATGATGCAACAATCACACACAAGATCACACATATAGGGTTCATAGGTTCAACGTCACGAGCATGAGGTCGAAGGTACTACCCATAAGGTGTCGGTCTAAAAGTTATCACCTGCCGAACAAGGTTCTAGAGGTTCCTAGAGTCTACATCCTTCCTTCGAATATTACCAACTTCCCGATTAACTCGGTAATTAGTAATATTCTCAAGAAAGACTCGTCCAAGCGTAGTATCGCGTGACAAATATTTCTGAATTACTCCGTCATAGCTTCCGCACTACACCTAAAAGGCCAAGATGGGTTTGGTATTCTACGGTCCTCAGTTTCAGCAGGCTCCCAGGTCGAAAGCAGTACGTCTTCCCGATTACCCGGTAAACGACACTACAGTCAAAGGGGCCTCCACTGAGTGGGGGATCTCATGCCTCCTTTTTTGGGATTACTCCCTCAAAGTTAACATGACTATACCACCCGTCCTATCTTAAAGTTTGCCCAAGTCTGGGTATAGGACTTATGAGTAATCACCAAGCACCCTGAAAACCAGGAAAATCCAGAGAAACATACATATAACATATAACACAAAAAACAGTAATAACACATATACAGATATAAACAAAGATAGGCTTAACCCACTTAGGTATGGACCAACAAGAGGTCAATCCATCCCCAGTGAATTCACCATTTTTCTGTAGCGGTAGAAATGTTCAAGACTAAGCCATTGGATTGACTAGACTTTATACAAATTAAAATAAAAATTGCCACCGCGCTTTATTGTTTCCAAAGGAATGGGAAAAGAGCGAATAACCCAAAAAAGATGGGGGAAAGATTCAAGGTAAGGGGGTTGGTTATGCAAAGGGAAGGTATTAGTACCCTAAACATCTACGGTACTCCGCATGAGCCTCTTTGTAAAATCTGTATATTTTGGCTATAAAACTGTTATATAAAATGGATGGTGGAGATGAGAGAAGAAATATATAAAACGGTACTCCACTTTGAGATGATTTTTGCACCCTCCGCGGTTGTGAACCTTTAGTGCCTATGTACCACCTTTCGTGCAATAGGGGATCAGGGTACACATAGTTCCTCTCTTAAAAATTTAAAACACAAATGTGTTGGTTAATTTTATAAGATCAAAACATCATTGTCATTGTCCGGGTGGAAAACACACCTACTACCCACAATCATGAGAAATGAGAATTTACATCATCTCAAAGTGGAGGATATGACTTGGATGTCAAAAATCAACAATGCCTCACTCAACACCCAAGTGGAAAATATCTCTCTTCACTATATATTGTAGAAGTATAGTTGTTTGCATCACTACAAGGATTGACAAGACTTTAATCTTTTTCAGAAAATGTTTTAAAGGTAAAAAGTCAAAGTGGCAAAGTGGTTTGAAATGAGATTGATTGACTTTTAGTCTTCTAAAAAAAAGGTCAAGGTATTATTAAGTTGATTGGAGTTTATTTATGAAAATGTTTTGAAAATATATGGACATAAGTCCAAATTTATTATGAAAATGGTTCAAATTTAAAACAAGAAGAGTTTTCAAAAGGAGGGAGAAGATTTTTGAAATTAAAGAAGATGGGAGGATAAGAAGAGACTATCCTAAAGCATAAGGTAAAAGCTAGGGATGAGAACCATCTAACCAACAAGAAGCCAATACTTGGCATTATGAGCCAAGATAGAATTCCAATTCTTTGGATTGAAACCAAGCAAGCAAAAATACTATACCTCTTGAGAGAATCCAAACTTCAAGTGTATTAAGTCTTCATAAAAAAATTGGACAGAGTAACGGCTGTATACGAGGGAATTCCAGATTACAAACAAATGGTGTAATCACAATAACCTGCACACAAAACAAACAGACAACCCAATGTCTTGAGGTAAACCTCAAGAGCTCCAGACAAAATAATCAGATAAGATCACAAGGTCTCCAAGATAGGCCAAGGTTTCTAATCCTAAGTCCAAGAGAAAAGTCCCATGCTCCATAATGCCAAGGATAGTAACCAAATAGTCCAAGTACCATTAAAGATTTTTTAGGGTTTATGTTGATTATTAAGTATCTTAAGAAAGGAAAAGAAAAGCTCAAGTGAGAAAAGTACAAAATGGCAAGAAAATAAATGCTCAAATGAGCAAAGATGAAAATGGCATGAAATGTAAATGCTAAAAGTAAATAGTACATAAAGCATAAAAAAGAATAAAAGCATAAGGTAAAACAAGTCAATAATTAGTGGTTAGTTGAATGACCATCTTGAAACTTGCATTTGGAACTCATTAGAGGATTGGTAGAATCAAAGCCTCCACACAACAAATTGCATTTGTTTTTTGTCAAGTATATCATCCATTTGGAATTCTCATAAACACAATTTAATGATCAACGATGTTTAAGTGATCCGCGTTGACCAAAGGTGTTGTAGATCCATTAGAGGATTGGTAGAATCAAAGCCTCCACACAATAAATCTCAAGGTTATTGGATCAAAGAGATCAAATTAACATACAAGGTTATTAGATCCATTTAGGTTTATTTTTTCAATTAGAATAAAGTTTTAGATTGATTGGAACAACTATGTTTATTAATATATAAGTCTCCTTACTTAAAAAAAATAAGACCAATTAAACAAATCCAATACATTTAAATTTATTTCTACTTAAATAAACTAATCTTATTATTATAATGACGATTTTAAAATATATTTAGTATACGGACACATATATAAATAATAACTTAATGACTACTAATAATCTAATAATATATATGTAATTTATTTAATAAATCTAAATAAAAAAAATTTAATTATAAATGTGTCTGATATTTTTCTACACAAATCAATCTTAATATTGCAAGAAAGAACAAAATTTCTTTGTAGTCTTTAAGAAATAACACAATCTAAGCGTGACATAACAGTCAGAATATACACGTACGTGGTCCCAAAATTTGATTGATGCCGTGAACTTTATTATAAAGCTTTTATTACATGTATCATAATCTCAAAACAAACCATGGTTTTCGCCAAAACCAGTAGCTAGCTACCACTTCTTGCCACTGGTTTTTACAAACCTTATCTCACACAATCAAACCTCACTTTACGGTATATAAAAAGTATCTTCAATCAAGTGCATCCTCAATCAAAACAAAACCAAGCTAAGAGACTTCTTCTGTTTTTATCTACCAATAGTCATACACTATACAAGCAAGATTTTAAATTATTTCATGACGAGTTCAACAATCAGAATTTGGACAGTTGCAGCTAGTGTTGGAGTTGTAGAAGCCTTGAAAGACCAAGGTTTATGCAGATGGAACTATGGTTTTAGAACAGCTCAACATCATGTTAAAAATCATTTGAGATCTTTGTCTCAAGCAAAGAAGCTTTCTTCTTCTAATTCTTATGCTATGGTTTCTAATAGATTAGAGGAAGAAGAGGCAAGGCAATCAGAGGAATCATTGAGGACAGTCATGTACTTAAGTTGTTGGGGTCCTAATAATTAGACTCATTAATGTTGTAACATATATTGATATGTAAATTTTGATTAATGGAAGTGTTAAGAAAATTCAAAAAATTTGTGAGTTCTTTTAACATTGTTTTGAATTTTTATTTCTCTGATCGATAAAAAAAATTTCAGACACAAAGTAGAAGAAGATCTATATAAATCACATTGGAAGTTTTTATTTATTAATATCAGTTAATGTTTATCTACTTCTTTATTATATTATGCTCATTAACCAAAAAAAAAAAACTATTTTATGTCCTCTCTTACGGTGCCTATAGAGGCATTAGGAATACTCTACTTAAAAAGGCATAGAGAATACTCTCTGAAAAGACAAAGTGACATTTCTTAAACAGTTTGACTATATTAATCCATCATATTGAAAGAATTAGAGACTAGTATTAAGAATTCCTTTGATTATTAAGGATCAGTGTGTGAGACACTTTTTATAAGAATAGAAAGAGAGAAAATAAAAAAATAATAATTGATATTATTGAATGATAAAATTGATTATATAATGTTTATTTATATAGAATTAACTAACTTGTATATTAAGTAATAAACTCTAAATCCTAATTAATTTGGGTTTAGACTACATAGTTTGGATTATATCACAACATACTCTCATATAATTTAAGTTGTCGAACATACGCTAATCATATTCGATCTGAACTATTTCTAATTTTTTTTTTCAAATTCAAGAATCTGTCGATCTTCAATCTTTTGGTGAAAATATCCGCCAACTACTTCGACTTCGACTAGAATATCGATAATTTGTTCGACTTCTACCTCATTAAGTGATTCGGTGAAGTCATAGCTCATCAATCACAACATCTCGACTCATCACGATCTTCTCATTTATTGGATTGAATAACTTGTATGCTCCAATTTTATGATATTCTACCATAATCATAGGTTCACTCTTGTCATCAAGTTTTCTTCTTCTCGCATTAGGAATATGCTTGTAACAAATAGAGTCAAATACAATCTTCTTCAGGAACCTTGTTCTTCAGTTTCTTTGTAGGACATTTGTTCATTATATAGAGAGAAAATACCCTTTTTGGTCCCTTAAATATATCTCGGGGTCCATTCTAGTCCCTTATCTTTAAAAAGTTATAAAGTGGTCCTTTAAATGTTCAAAAAGGTCCACGTTAGTCTTTTTCGTCCATTTTTTTTCAAACGATGTCAACTATTGTTTGGGTGGCATCTGACGTAGCACATGTTTGTAGGCGTGACACGTGACTTGACACACATTCATCTTTAAGGTCATTAATATTTTGAAAAAACATTCCAAATTTTTTGATTTAGCCTGAATTCAAACTCAGGCTATCTAACTTACAAGTAATAGCAAATTACCACCACACCACTTCACAATTAATGTTTATTATTTCAAATCAGTTTTACTAATCATATAACATGAGTCTAAATACCACAAAAATGATGAAGTAGAAAACATTCTTCTATCTGTTTACAGGGTACTTACATTCTGTGCAAAAATTTCCTCCTCCTTCAAATTCTTCAACCTTTCCACCCTCCATTGCATCTTAACTAGTTGTCCAACTCTCAGGCCATCTGAAGGGAGAGGAAGAAAACTAATGGCTAGACATGGATCAAGCACAGGCTTTTACAAAATAATTACACTCTTGAAGATCAACTCCTGTCTAGAACCACCAACTCTAGTAGATTCATTTATAAAAGGATGATGAGCTCTAACTGTTCTATACCGGAAATTCCATATTTGATATTTAATATGCTTTCTAGTTGCTTAATGTCTTCTCTAATTTAATTATAAAAACAAAAGGCAAACCCGACTATTAATAGCAGAAAGCCAAAAATTATGCTATAATTATTTTCACGGGTAAATAGTTACTATATTGGAACAACAAGGTCTGCCATGGAAAAATCGGCTATGACTAAGGTTGTCTACTAAGAAATAGCCATAAACTATTAGCTATATTCGTATCAATTTAAATAAAATAAAATTGTGTTATAAAAAATGCACAACCAAATAACAAGAGTCTTTTGACATACCCCTCATTCTTGATGAGTAAATCTTGTAAGGGAAAACATAATAAATAAAAATGTTTGTACTGACATGGTCATGTCAAAACTACTCATTAACCAGTGCAACTAATAATAAAAAATAGGAAATTACATCATTAGTGTTTAATATGAACTGAAGGTTAAGACATGGGGACAATTTCCATACATACTCAGAAAGATTGATAAGGAATTGGTAACTTTGATAGAAAGAACATTTAGACTAAATATTGACAACAACTGGTAACAAATCATTAAACTTGAATTAGAATAAGTCAACCAACAAGAAACCTCTGAAAAAGGATAGAATTATAGAACTTCACTTCCAGTTAAATATAAAGATCCACTATGGTTTTATTGTGATAACTAATTCCTGAATTTTCATATTATGATATTTAGGGGCACAGGTCAAATTATTTGGTGGTATATTAAAAAGAAACAATAACATTGTTTCTAATTTTTCGGCGAAGTGAACATAGTCACTTCCTTTTGGTGCCCCTCCGTAGGATCTAACTGCAAGATGCTTAAACAATCTTCGACGGTTGATATTTGACAACATTCTTTTTATTTGTTTGGGAATAAATTTAGTGGACAAAGATTAGAGGTTTTCATTTCTTTCAAAAATATAGGAATGATTTTTCATCTCTTACATTATGTTCATCCTCTTGACAATAAAACAGAGAAAGAGTAGAACCTCCTAGGTGGATTGGTGCAAATGAGACAAAAGATAAAGCTACATATCCATAACCAGCAAAAATGGAAAGACGGGAGAGGATGAGACCCCAATTGAGATTAAGTTCATGTTATATGATTACCAAAACTGATTTGAAATAATAAACATTAATTGTGAAGTGGTGTAGTGGTAACTTGCTATTACATGTAAGTTAGATGGCCTAAGTTTGAATCCAGACTAAATCAAAAAATTTGGAATGTTTTTTCAAAATATTAATGACCTTAAAGATGAATGTGTGCCAAGTCACGTGCCACGCCTACAAACATGTGCCACGTCAAATGCCACCCAAGAAAAAGTTGGCGCTGTTTGGACGGAAAGGACTAACGTGGGCCTTTTTGAACAATTAAAGGATCACTTTAGAACTTTTTAAAGATAAGGGACCAGAATGGACCCCGAGATATACTTAAGGGACCAAAAAGAGTATTTTAACTTATATAGACAACAATGGTGACTGCTTCACCTCATAAGAATTTTGGTAGACAACATGCATCTCGCCATAACCAATATGATCATGTTTCTTCTTTCTGCACTTCCATTATATTGAGGCGTATAAAGAGTAGTTACCGCGTGATCAACATTGTGTTCTGCACAGAATTTTTCAAATGTCTTCAAATATCTTGAGTGATCAGTTGATTAAGTGGCCTAAAATTCATATTGTCAAACCTCAAATGCCACAACTAACTATTCTTATGGTTGACAACTATTTTCAGACAATGTACCTCAATCGAACTTATCATGGTCTTAAATGTCCTATTCTTCGACAGAGGAGATTTCAAGACCAAATTATTCTGAGTGTTGAATAGTTCCAAGAGGCTCCATCTTTCATAACCACTGAGAACTCTTTTTCGACCAGTTGTCCAACACTTAGTACATTGCACTTCATTCTAGGTACATAGAGTACATATGATCATCTCCTTTGAATAACTATGTCACTAGTACCTTCTACTTGCAATGAACTATTATCAACAAGTTTGACATTACTCTTCTTCGACTCATCAAAATCTGCTAACCATATTTTTTGACCAATCATGTGATTCGAGAAGCTTGAGTCAAGGAACCAGATCTTGAAGTCGACATGCTCATCTACAACTGCATCCATGAGCATCGAATCATCATAATTATCTAAATCTTGACGTGTAAGGTTCGCTCCTTTGTCTTTGCCTTTTGTCGCTCCCTTGGCTTTCCTGTAGCAATAATTTTTGGCCAAGTGACCCCACTTTTCACAGTTATAGAATTGCACTCCTTTTTTATCTTCTTTTTATTTCTGATAGAAGTATACGTCTCCTCTTTTCGAGGATTCAGAAGCCTTATTATCGAACATATTCTTTTGAGGGTTCAACCAAGACTTCTTGCTCATAGCCTTGTCACTTTTACCTTTGAATTTTGTTAGAACCACCATGCTTCTTCCATGCTTGAGCCTGCAATACTTGTATTGAATCTTGAACCCCTTTATTTTCGGAAATTCTAATCTCATGCGCCTCCAACGATCCAACCAAATCTTTCAATTGTAGGGTTTTAAAATTGTTGGATTCTTGAATAGTTACGATAATATGATCAAAGTGAGAGGTCAACATACGCATCACCTTCTCAACTATCATCTTATCTGTTAGGGTTTTACCATAACCCTTTATGATATGGACAAGATTATGCACCTTCAATACATAGCCTACAATCTTGTCATCTTCTTCCATCTGCAGTAGTTCATACTTCTGTCACAAAGTCTGTAATTTGACGACTTTTCCTTTCTCACCTCCTTCATGGCATATGACAAAAACATCTCATGCCTTCTTCGTCGATTCAACATGAGAGATTCTGTCAAAATTCACTTAATCTACCACTGATTGAATGCAATATGGAGCCTTACAATATTTCTTCTTCACCTCATTGTGTTCAGTTTTTTGCACGTTGGTTGCATTTTGAGCAAGCTTAGGAACTTCGTTGTTAACTACTTTTATAATTTCATGAAAATTGAATAAGGAATTCATCTGCTTGCTCAATCGGTTCCAATTTTTGTTGTCAAGAATTGGAAAAGAATTCCAAATACCATTAGTATCGTTCATCTTTGCATCGATTTATTAAAAACCCACAATCTCGAAAACCTGATCACTGACGTGTGATTCTTGCAAACACAATCAATGATCTAACTGGAGTTCTAGATACCAATTTATTAGTGCGTGAGGCACTTTTAGTGAGGAGGATAAAGAGAGAGTAAAGAAATAAGGATTGAT